CCACTTGCCAGTCACAGAAAATCGCTACCCATCTCTCTTCACTGCGGATTCTTGGAAGGAGGCGAAGGCACACTGATGACACAACATGAATGAGAATGCTGATACTAGTGGAGGTCGCCAATGCAAAACCAGAATCTGCCTTTCCCAACATCCCACGGCTGAGCTGTCCTCCAGGGGCAGTGGCCAACTTCCTGGGACTCTCCAGAACCTTTCCGTGGACTGTAAATACTCCAGAGCTGAGGATAATGCCTCAGGGTGGTGATGACCTTGAGAACCCTCTTACTCTGCAATGAACTGAGCTGAACTGAGGAGAACATAGCAGGGTTTTGTTTTTGTTTCTGGTTTTTGTTTGTTTGTTTTGTTTTGTTTTAATTGCAGCCGAAGTCAAATTCATCATAGTGAAAAAATGTACTACATTCACTTCAGTGGCTTTTAATCCTGCTTATTAATTTTATCATTTTGTTCTATTTGTTTAAAATGTTTGGAAATGCTTTGCTGTACCGATTTTTCATGGTGCCTCGCTAGCACAGGAGTATGAAAAGCCACCTAAAACAAGGGAAAGTGGCTGATACAAGGTTGCCAAAGTATATAAGAAAACTGTGGAGCAGCAGGCAGGATTCTTTTTCATTCAAGTCAGTTATACACAGAGATGAAAAGAAAAACAACCACCCACATTTCCTGCTTGGGCTTGCCAGGGCTCAGTGACTGACACTGCTATGGAGATCCATTCTGCTGCTTTGGTCTCTGATCTGTGTGCACCTGCCTCGGTCTCTCAAAATGTCCCTTCACTCACCCTACGTGCCCAGGCACAGGTCTAGGTGTGGGAAACACCTGTCAACCACGTGCTTTATTCCAGGGTAGAAGTTTTTTCTTCCCGATAGTTGTTTCTCCATGGATATTTGACGATGGAGCTAACCTTTAAAGTCAGAAATGCTTATTTTCAGAGGCATATAAGGGGCAAACATGTCAGAAACAACCATGGGAAGGAACTTAAGCGTATTATTTGTTTTTCGAGAAAAGAGTAAGGCACATTTTTCTCTTCCCAAACATTCAGTGCAGAAGCTCTGTTAGAAAAATGGGCTGTGCAGGGGAGGTGTGGACATGCAGCTGGGCGCCGGGGGCTGCAGGTGTGAGGCTGCAGCTGGGATGAGGAGGCAACTGCTCGGAGGGTGGCCTGGTGTGTTGCTGGAGCCCACCAGGGTGAGGACAGAGTGCCCAAAGGGGGCAGGGGCGGAGGCCGAGGCCCAGGCAGGGTGAGAGGGTGAGATGGGAGATGTGCAGGAAGGTACCCCAGCAGGTGGGAGAGGAGGGTCACCCTGCAGAGGGGAAAGTGGAGTCGCAGTTATACTGTGAAGAGTTACTGAACATAAAAGATAGGATAATAGAAGCTAGTTTTCCATTCTGTCAGAGAAGTGTTATACATTCGAAAAGGGAAAAACTAGAAATGAATTCTTTGGTGTTTACTGGAGGTGGAAGTATAAGATACAACATGTGTACACAAGTAACAGGCACATGCATGTATCTGTGCATTTCCTAGCTTGTTCTTTGAGAGAACACTGATAATTCAGTGTTCCTACATTTCCTACATCTTCGTTTCTCAGTACGCCACTGAAAGGGAGAAGTAGGACTCTTTGGAGAAATGGCTGATTTCAAGGATGGGGCAGGAAAAGTACACAATAACCCTGCAGCAGCCTGTTGTGCTAAAGAGTAAAGTACCTACAGAAGGAAGGGTACGTGTCAAAGAGACACAGATGCCACCCTGTGAAGGGGCAGACAATGGCCAAATCCAGGACAATATAATGACGCTAGCAGATTCCAGGCAATGACTACAATAGGAAATGAGCCCGACTGCATAAATAAACAATACTGAGCGTTTGATGGGGAAGCCTGATATCCACAGTTTCAAAGTACCTCTCACCAAGTATTTATCAATTCAAAAGCGAAGAAGAATTTGATATTGGACAAGACTGGCAGATACCACCTTGATTGAGTGCTCAAGTGAAGGGACAAAGGGAAATCACTCCAGCCAACACCATGTGGTGAGAACAGCATGGCTTCTGCGATGTCCCTGCCAAAGATGGACAACCTGAATCTAACCCTGAAGGGGTGGCAGACAAACCCAGATTGAAGGCCCTGCTACAAAATCCCCAGCCAGTCAGTGTCAGAGTGTGGCCCATGAGGGAGGTGGGGAGACCAGGAACTCTTCCAGATTGAAAGAGACCTGGCAGCTAAGTGCAACACATAAGGGCTGGATATTTTTGTCATAAAGAACATCACTGAGACAACTGGGAAAATCCTGAATGGGCCATGAGGATTAGATGGAAGTAATAGATCTAAGTCAGTCCCTGGTTTTTGCTTTTTCTCCCAGAAGAAAGTCCTTGTTTATAGGAAATACATATTGAAATATTGGGGGAAATGGGTACTACTGTTGGCAACTTACTCTACAGGGGGAGGTGAAACACACCTGTAATCCTGCCCTTCAGAAGTGGAGGCAGGGTGACTGCATGTTCGAGACCAGCTGAGCTACACAGTGAGTTCAAGGCCAGCCTGAACTACAGAGTGAGATCTTGCTAAAAAAAAAGGAAAGAAAATAAAATCAACAAGAACTCTTCCCTTTGGCTAGGTAAAAATTTCTTGGGCTGTGGTTAAAAAGAAAAAATAGACATTTAAGGCTGTGAAGTCTCTCAAAAGAATTCTTATGAATATAACTTTAAGATATAAACTGGTTCAAGGACCACCTCAGATACCAAAATCCTTGGGTGCTTAAGTTGATTATATAAAATGGCAGAGTATTTGCATATCACCTACACATCCCCCCATATATTTCAAAAATTTTGGATGACTTATAGTACCTAATCCAATGTGAATGCATGCAAATAGTTATATTGTATTGCTCTGGAAGTAATGACAAGGAGAAGCACATATTTGATACAGATGCAATTTTTAAAAACTACTTTTGAGGGCCTGGGACGTACAGTGGCACTGTGCCTACCTGGCAAGCAAGCGGCCGAGTTTGATGGAGACAAAAAAAAAATTTTTCTTTTTTTGATCACTCACCAATACAAAAGGCTAAAAGTTATTCATGTGGTTTCTTACAATAACAGATAACAAGATTGACTTAACTGTTTATAATGTGAAATTTTAGAGCTCCTAAAAATGTGTGAAAACTAGGAAGGATGATTTCAAAATTTCTAAATTGTGAATGAACTTGGGAAAGGAAATGAAAATAATCACAAGACATAAAACTGAGGACGCTGCTCCCCTCTCTTCCACGGCAGGGTCTGTCTCTCCTCCTAGACAGCTTCCTCCCAGAGCTCCTGGTGGCTTCCTGCTCTGGCCTCTCCTCTGCCCTCCGCTTGTCACCTGATCCTATGTGCAGTTCTGGCTGCCACCCCTTGCTCAGAAGGATGCTGTTCCAGCGTGGAGCTCTTCACTGGGCCACCTTTCACCCTGGCCACATAGAACTGTGTGCTCTTCCCCGGTGTGGCCGCACTCCCCATGGAGCTCTTTTATACATTCTGTGTTCTCTGGCCCAAATTCCCTTCCTTATGGCCAGCAGAAATCCTTCTCCAACACCATGTGAGGCCATGTCTTCATGAGCTCGTCTACCCCACCTGGCTTCAAGCTGTCTCCTAGGATACCACAATGTACTTCCAAGTGCTTCTGAAGGCTGTGATATTCCATCTTGTGTCACAGCTTAAAGTCAACCTGAGTGGGGCAGAAGCTGTACAGTTCACGCTCTATGCCCCAAAGCAACTGGCACAGTGCCTTGCACACTGCAGGCACTTGAGTGTGCACTGACTCAAACCACCTGGCTCTGCTCCCAGGAAGTCACCAGAAGGAAACGCTATGAAAACATGACTAGAAAATGAAAGGGCAGTGATGCATCTTGAGAGAAAGTTTCAGAACATAAAAAATGTGTAAGTGGCAGAAATATTTTACTTCTATGGGATTAAAATCTATATGTTTCTGAGTTTAAAACAGAAAATAGTCACAGGCAGATACACACACACACACACACACACACACACACACACGCTCTCTTTCCAGGTACAATGGCATACCTCAGTTCACAAACTTAATTCTTTCCACAATTCTGGTCACAAACCAAACTGGGCAAGAACTAATCAAATTCAACAGTCAAATCCAATGTTGACCTAATGGGAAAACTTGATTCAATTCTTGTCCAATTTGGTTTTCAACCAGAGTTGTGGAAAGAATTAAGTTCGTGAACCATGGTCCCACTGTAAATAATAAACGAACTAAAGGGGAAAAACCTTTAAAAACAATGAACTCAATCATTTTCTCCGGTCAAGTTGGAGAAATATAAGAAATGTTAGCTAACAATGCAGTTACAATGAAATCACAAATAGCCCCAAAAGGTAGAATTACCCCCAGGAAAGTGCTAGCTCCTTTTCTGTGACTCCCAAGAACAGGAAGCCCAGCTAAAGGTCATGAGCTTTTCCTCCAATATGGTCCCCAAAAACTAATGAATGATTTAATGAGACTTAATTTTCAAATTCACTAAAACCCAGTGCTTCTCAAAATATTTGTGAAAGTATGTGAAATATTTCCTACCTGCTGCACAATGACACTCTAAAATACAATAAAAAGGCCTACCAGTTAACACACACTTTCTGCGTCTCATTTGTCATGGACCCGTAAAGTACTGCCCCCACCCCCAAGGCACATGGATCCCACAGGCTGGAAAGAGGCAGGTTGCCGGCCTACCTTCTGCTCCTGGACTTCAAATACTGCTTCATGGACACTACAGGCAAACAGGGAGGTAGGCAGATCACTGAAATCCATCATCTCTTCCAAATCATCTTCATTTTCACCAAAAACCATCTCTTCTTCCTCTTCTTGGTCACTGCTACAGAGATCTGACTGGCTGTCATTCCAAGATTTCATAGTGTCCCTCAGCATTGTCCCCCAAAAGCAGGTGTTTTCTGTTTTGAAAGTTCTAGGATGCACCTACTGTTAAACAAAAACAACACAGAGATAAAACTTTGAGGACCACATAATGCTCCAATCAATCAGTTTCCCCAGACAGCAATTCATCAGGTGAAGTGATTTTAGCCAGGAGAGGTCAATCAGCATTTAAATCAAGTCATTTCAGTCCTCATACATGAATCCCATATAGGGAAATTTGATTTGCTTGACATATTTTGCAAGGTAATAATATATTATGAAGAAAACAAGTTTCCTAGTGAACTGGGAAAGAAAGAATACTACAAAATGAGATCACATCAATATGTACACTAGTTTACAAGCAGTAGGAAGGAACATGTGAACCAGAACTGCTTTCACATATTTGTTTTGGGTTTTAGGTCTAAAACACTGGAACCAGCAAAGCAGAATCAAACCCACACAGATCTGCTCACCATCTGCACCCTGAAATATGGTCTGCAACGCACTGACTTTGCCTTTCTCATCCAAGTTTTTTTCTTTTTGAACATTGTCTTCAAATAATTAAATTACTCAGAACCAAAGTTCTCCATAGAGTCAGCTTTTGTGAGAACATATTAGAAATATTTACAGTTGGCAAAATTAAACATAGTAGACAATCCAAAAGATATCTTTTTCCAAAATTTTTAAACATCACTAATTTTAAGCCAGTGGCCTGGAGCTGACAGTTCCCCTCTGTTAAACACCAGAGCAGAATCTGTGCTGGGGGATTGTTTATATGCCTGACTGGCTCCTTTAGGGACCTGCACGCCACGCCCACCAAGCAGAGTCCCATGGACACGACACATTCTGAGATGTCAACATGGATATTAAGAAAAATTTATGAGGCACAGAAGCATTAAATGATCGTGATTCTTGCTCCTCTCGTATGATTTAAATTGTGATCTTTCCATTTTATTTCAAAGAGAACAAGGCCACAAATATATTCCTTATATATCTATATTGCTTATTTACAGCACATAACAGAATGGTGATTATAGAATAAAAACAGGGGTTTTTCATTATTTACTGCATCAATCAAATTCTAAAAGGTAAAATTTTTACTTGTGTTTATAAACATTCTCTGAGTGCCTACTGCTTTGCATTGAGGGGTGTTTGATGAGTAATTCATGGTTCCTACCCTAGTGGAGCTCCCACTGAACAAGAATTTCTCCAATAACGCTGGCCACCCCATGCTCCTACAGGATTTTGTCCAATTAATTTTCTGCTACACTCTCCATTTCTTGTTCTGCAGCTGTTCCTTTCCCTTGGCAAATTTATGCATTCATGATCCCCACGACTGGGATTCTACCTGTCTCTCCTTTGCCTTTCCTGCCAACTTCTTGGAAAGAGAAATCTGTATCTGTTGTGTTTATTTCCTCAACTCCAGACACTCCTGAATTCAGTCCAGCTGGATTTCTGCCATTGTCCTTTAGCTTTACTAGTCCTCATCTGGACAGCAGTAGTCTTCTAATAGTTGGAACCTAATTTCAGACCCTGGCCTGTCTCTGCAGCACGTGATCGCTCCACCCACCCAGTTCCTTTCCAGACTTCTCTGTGCTCTGCCTTTCTGGTTCTTCCTCTTCCCCCAATGTCTTGCCGGCTGGCTCTCCGTTCTCGATCCTACTTCACAAGTCAGTCTCTCTGAGGTTTCAGTCTCATCCTCCTTTTCTTGTCTTACTCTTCCTGGGTGGCTTGACTCACACTGGAGCCGTAAGCTTGATTCACACACTGAACCTGTACCACTTGTGGGTCTGAAATCGGTTTCCTGTTTCCCTGTGGTCTATACCCAGCTATGTCAATAACGTCTCCCACTTCACATGATTCTTGAGCCAGGAAGAATGGCACTGAAGCTATAGCGGAAGGAAGAATAGAATTATAGAGCTGTAGAGTTGTAGAGTCTCAGAGTTTCAGAATCTCAGGCAATGGAGAGGATGGGTAGTTGAGAAAAAGCGCCAAGTCCCCAAGAGACTCACAGTTGCCCTTTGGCCCTTCTGTACACACACACTGAAAACTACTCCTCTACAGGCCCACTGTCGAATGTATACATCCAGTTGTAGCCTCCCTCTCTTGAATTCTAGACTTGTATTTTAGCATTTTATTGAACCTAGATTTACCTGGGTATTCCACAGGTGCTACAATTGTTTCTAGCTTATTCTTTCAACTAGATCATTGTGCCAGAAATCTCCAATCTGAATGGGGGTCCTGGGAGAGTGGAGGTGGCGGGGAATGGATATCATTGTGGATTTCATCACAAACTCTTCTTTAACACGAAGCTGCCAAGTAGTTTGGGGTTCTCACAGCACTTTGCTCATTTCTCTGTCCTGTATTTGTTTATAACTCATTCCTAACTACCAGACTGTGAGATCCTTTGAATCCTCTTTTCCATGAATCCCTGGCATAGTTTCCAACTCACAGTTGTTTAATTATGACTACTGACAAAAAGCAGATAGCACTGTGATTACCCCACTGACACAGGTCAGTGTAGACAGAGAGAAATTCAATTCTGCCTGGGATTAGACAGCTTCTCAAAAGAGATCATGGTGGGACTTCAACGGGGAGCAGAGGTGCAGCAGGGAAAGAGTGCAGTGAATTCCAAGGACAGTCACCAGTGCATGAACCACGTTTTGAAGACAAACAGATGAGTGTGAGCAAAGGCCAGGCGCTTCGGTGTGGCCATAGGGCCCTGTCTGGAGGGGGTGGCAGGAGCCAAAGTCAGGAAAGCCAGCGTGGGCCAGACTGCCACAAAAGTGGGGCTGCAGAGTTTTGATATAAAAACCAGCCATTATCAGCATGTCACCAAAGACTTCCAGGTAGGGAAATGTTATAACCAACCGATTTACCTTTTGGTATCCTCTTTATATCTTATTTATTAGAGGTACTGATGTTATTATCTGCCTCTTCCAAGCCCATGAAAAAGAGGTAGGGTAAATAATGCCCAGTTTTTCTGGAGGGTGCAAGATTTTGCAATCTGAGAAAGTAGCCCATTTTTGATGAGTTTTCTGAGGCTTATTTTTAGTGCTGGAAATCAAACCCAAGGTGGTGCACATACTAAGTGTGCTTTACCAACGAGCTACACCCCCAGCTTCTTGATAAGATTTTTTGTTTGTTTGTTTCAAGTTCTTTCCCCCAACCCTTAAGAAAAAGAGCACAGGAAACAATCCTTCACCTGATTTAAAAAAAATTCTTAGAATATCATACCTTCATTTCCTGTTTTCTACCTTTAACTTTGGGTATTTTTTTTCTTTTGATTTAACTTCAAAAAGAAGTTACAAGAATAGAACAAGGAATTCCTAAATATCCTTTGCCAAGCGTTAACAATTTTGCTGTTTGCTTTATTTTATATATATATGTATATATGCTCAGAACCACTGAAAATAAGATGATTTATTTATATCCTTTCACTCCAAAATTACTTTCAGTGTGTAAGAAAAATAGCTTTCTTACATAAGCATGGCATCAAAACCAGGAAATTTAGCATTGACATAATACCATTATCTAATTTATAGTCTACATTCAAGTTTTGTCAACTATTCAAATAATGTCCTATATATAGCTAGTTTTCTTTTAAAGGTTTTAGACTACTACTATTTTTTTTCTGTTTGGCCCAAAATACTTTAATAATCTTTAGACTATGCATTAGATTACAGCACTCATTTTCTTTACTTAATAGATACTTGAAAACAATGGATCACTAGTGTACTGTGGTGACTGGCAAAAGTGTGAGCAGACCTTAAGTATGCCCCAGAGAGATTCAGGCTCCATACCAGCCTTTCTAGATCTGGACTCTGGCTGCCCAGTACTCTGTTTTAGGTAAATTCTTCTCTGTTTCTGTTTCCTCAAGTGTAAAATGGAGATAATAATAATCCTTACCCAATAAGGAGATTAGGAGAATTAAATAAAGAAATGCATACTAAGCACTCAGAGTAATTCTTTGCGTATAGTCAATGCTCAATGATCAATTATTTTAACACAGGCACAGTCCACGTTAATGCATTGTGGGGTTAAAAGAATCTCAGTAGTATCAGAACTGCTGGTTGAAGTGATACTCAAATCATAAAGTGAAAAAAAAAACATTCCAAATGATATAATTCCAACCATCAAAAGGCAACAAAAATAAAACACTTTACATCATTTCAAGATAGCTATTTAGTAGCAGATATCAATAAAGTGAATCTCCAACAACCATTAGTAGTAATCTAGGTCCAGTATGTAAACATTAAAAGCTTTTTTGTTTTTTTTTTTAGAGGTAGCTGGAAAAGGGCATGGTGCCCTTTCATGGGCCTTATAGAATTCCACATCATCATGCAACACTTATGGCATTATTTTCATTCAGATGTTGGTTTTTTCACTAAGGACAAGCCATCCATGAGGGGTTTTGGATATAGCTAAAGCCAACTTTGTCAAGCATGTCATAATTTTCTGATACCATAATTGCAGCTAAATTTGAAAAGAATGAAAAATATGGAAGGAGATCATATAAGACAACTCAGCTGCTACTTAGAAGGTAAACTCCATAAAACATTACAGAAGTCTGTTGGTTCTATGCAGTTATTACTGGAGTTGCTGTTACCTTTGTTCCACACTGTTATGAGACTAAGCTCTCCCTCATTTATAAACCCCAGGAACTCCTGACTGGCCCAGCAGGAAGAGCTGAACTGTATCCTCCAGCTTCTGTAAGCCAATCAGGGCTTAGCATCACCTCCAGTGCAACTGTAGCTGTGTCTGGCTTCTGGCAAATTGCTTCTTCATGGAAACATCAAATGAGTGGAAAAACTCCAAGGAGCATGACCATCTGCTCTGCTCCAACAAGCCTTGTGACAAGAGTAATCCATCAAGGCAAAATGTCAAGCACATAGCGTTGATGTTGCATGTTCACTCTGATAAGGAAAAGGTAAATTCTTTCTCCTCTAGGAGTATGAAAATACTTAAATAATATACTTTCCAATTTGGGGAATATTTTAATACCTTGGATGCATTTTAAAATTTTCTTGACATGATCAAAATGTCGCAATGCTGGAAGCAAATGTGTACTTCATATGAATTTGTATTTTAGACTAAGTTTTGAAAAGACCACCTAGGATTGACAAGGTAGAGGTTCTTTTTTCTTTTTTTTTTTTTTTTTTTTTTTTTTTTTTTTTTTTTTAGACAGGGTCTCACTGTGTAGTTGAGACTAACCTGGAACTCACAATGTAGCCCAGGCTGGTCTCAAGCTTACAGCGATCCTCCTGCCTCAGCCTCCCAAGTGCTGGGATTACAGGCGTGCCCCACCACACCTGGCCCTACAATGTGGAGGTTCTGAATGTCGATCATGAAGCTTCTACCTTATGTTTTTAAAAATTATTTACTGCTTATAGGTAGAACTTTATTATTTTTTCATAGCTGTGGTAAAAATTTGGGGGGAGGGTGTGACAGTAAAGCAAAATACATAATAATTATGGGCTAGGGGGTGCAGCTAAGTGGTAGAGCACTTGCCAGGCATGGGCAAGGGCCTGGGTTCCACTGCTAGCTTATAACTTTTTTGTTGTTGTTGTATTTTGTATATGTTCCTGACCTATGTCCTATTTTCATAGATACTCTAGAATTGGTCCTGTTATAATTATGGAGTTTCCTGCTCCACCAGGAAGAGTGGTGTTGGTGAGCATGACAGAGATAATGAAAATCAACAATAAAAATTAATTGTCAGAACATATGAAAATAACAGGCTTTAAAGGATAATTGAAGCACCGAGGACAGATGCTGTTTGACTGTATTTCACTTCCCCTCCACAGAACTGCATTCCAGGAGCAAAGTGGAGATCCTGCCTCCCTTCCACCTCCCACGCTTTTGGGGGGGGGTCTACGTCACAAACGGCGTTGAACTTAGAGCCTCTAATATTTCGCACGCTTCAGCTTAACAGATGTCTAAGTCACATTATTTTTCATGACGTTTTCCATTTTCTTTGGACCAACAATTCCACTACCATCATACAAAGCTGGTTGCCATCTGTTACCCTAATGTTCACATGTTTTAAAGCTTTACAAATGTTATATTTCAATAGTAGGGAAAAAAAAAATCCTGTTTCCCCTAAACGCACGGAAACCCCTTGCCTAGGAAATGGTTTGCTGATTAAGTAAAACGTAAAGCGGATGAAATGGCCACAGAGGCTCTTAGCTTTCCAGCTTTTTTTCAGTTTTCCTGCATCCAAAGCCCATTTCAAGAGCACTGATAGAAAATCCCCATTCAAACGAAGGAATGTGTGTGATACACAAACACCTAGGCCCTGATTCTTAACACTATGTATATTTAAGGTTTAATATACTGAACCGAAGCTACAGACAGTCTCGAGATATTTTAAGTCATATGTAATCACAGCTACAAATTAATCTGTTCCTTCTCTTGCCAAATAGCACATCAGAGACTTCTATGAAATGCACAGACTTCTATGAAAAGTTTAAGTAGATGGTGGGTACTGGGTGGCTTTCGGTTGGGGGAAGAGAATATATCGGCAGCAGCTATCACTTTGAATAATCCCAGGTTACATCCGAACAGGGATCTGAATCGCTCCCTACGCTAGTACCCTAGTCTCTACAGGACACGACGGGGTTGTGCATGAAGTTAGAGAGAAGCAGCCTAGAGAGAGGCCACGTCGATTGCTCACCTGTCCAGGCAGCGGACAGACAAAGGCAGATAACAAGTTTGTCCCGAGAAGTCAGGGAACCGGGAAGGCGACGGCCACCCGCGCATCGCGGCGGGGCGGGGCGGGGCGGAGAGGGGCTCG